CATTATGTTAGTATGTTTATATCATTTAACATTTGTATTAGCATTATGTTAGTGTGTTTATATCATTTAACCATTTGTATTAGCATTATGTTAGTATGTTTATATCATTTAACATTTGTATTAGCATTATGTTAGTGTGTGTTATATCATTTAACCATTTGTATTAGCATTATGTTAGTGTGTTTATATCATTTAACTTTTGTATTAGCATTATGATAGTATGTTTATATCATTTAACAGTTGTATAAGCATTATGTTAGTATTTTTGTATCATTTCACACAATATATACAAATAAGATTAAAAGTTAAAATATTCAATGTAAAATAACGTTTTTTTTTATATTTATTACCACAGCCCTTCAATCCCTCTATAGAGGGACTGTGATATTACATCATGGCCCAGTCCATAATTGTACCATTTTTTCAAAAATCAAATCTGTACATTTCGTCATATTCCAAACTTTTGCACTCTAAGTTGAAAATGATTTTAATCCATATCTCTTTGTTCTAAGAAAGGCATAACTGTGACTCATTTCGTGAATTATATAAACTCACATGTTTAAACTTAAAATTCTGTCCTATTAAATGTATTCTGAGGTCTATGATTAAATTATTTTGAATTTCATCATTAATGATGCGATGTGAATAACTTTGAGTATTTTGATACGATTTATAAGTATATTTATAAATTTGGATTGCCGGTTGTGTATATTCTCAATGACCGATGTTATAATATATAACACTTTAGCACATTGGTGGTATGAGAGCTGAAGTTACTGTGGACTGAGGTCAGGTTTCTGGTCGGAAATAGAGTAGCGCCCTCTATGTTAAACCCGGAAGTGATTAAACCATCAGGATTTTGATACTTACATGCACGTTGTGGGAAGACCTGTCTATCCCCCCCGTTCAGTATAACAACGATATGGCGCAGTACCCCAGCGTCGAGTATCTTCAAGAAAAGTTGAGGGAAGGGCTAAGTGCAGAATATGTGGTAAGAATGGACAAATTTGTTAGTCTGCGTTTATGTTCACCTTGAATTATGTCCACAACGAGATATGATTATAGTAACTAAACGAGAAGGCACGGATGAAAAACATATATACACGACTGACACCTGTTTGTAATTCCCAGAAAATTCTGGACATCAGTGACTCTGGATGCATTGGTGGAAAGTATAAGGCTCTGATTGTGGCGAAGAAGTTTGAAGGCAAGACATTGGTACAAAGACATAGGTAAGATATCTGCAGTAACGGTCTGACAGTAAAGCACACCTTGGTGGTCTAATAAGGAAATATGAGTAGTCCGTGTAGAGAATTAAAATTATTACACTTATTTGTAAGTTATGTGCTTATTAGCCTGACATGTAGGTGTGAGTGGCGCCCTCATCGATTGTACGGCATCAGACCACACTAACACCTGACAGAGTAGACTATGTCTTGTCGGCAAGACCAATACTGCGAATTAGCAAAGTTCCCACATTCTTGCAATGAGTTTCAATGAATATTCATTTTGGTGGCCGTGGTAAGTTTATTTTATGGCTTGTGAGTAAATTATCATTGTAGTTTCAACGTCCGAACTGACCGTTGTCTTAAATCAATAACATTCATAAGGTGACTATTCTTGTATACTTTTACACATAGTGTATAAGAAAGTAATTAGTTTGTGAAGGTCAATCACATATTAATGAATCTAAGAGAAACTTTTGATCGCAAATAATAATAATAATTGATGTAGAATAGAGGTTTGTAATAGTGTGACCTTTGGAATGTATTTTTTCAATACATACAACAATATTTCAGGAATATTCTGGGGAAAACTAGGATTAGGGCTGGGAGAACGTATAGATGAAGGGCCATTTAGTACAAGAATTTTTGTGTGTGATAACAAACAGTATAACCAAACTAACATAAATTTGGTCAATGTGAGGAGCATTCCGCAATGCAATATTTCATCCAGTTTGTATTTGAGATTCTGGCTTTTATAAAGATAGCTAATTTTTCTGAATTCATTATTTACAATCATCATATGAAATTTGTTGAAAATATAATAAGTATTTTGTTTTTTATTTTCAGACTTGTCAATTCCTGTTTGGAAGAAGAATTGAAGGGTCCTATCCATGCTTTCTCAATGAAGACATTTACACCAGAACAGTGGGAAGACAGACAAATATCAAGTTGATTTTTTTTTTGTCATTGCTGGCTCTAAAAATCTATAAAAATCTGGTTATAGATCATTTATCATAAACTGTGTTAATATTTCTCATTCACAGAATGTATCATAACATTAATAGTGAGATGTTCATTATACATTGTTACATAGAAGTTTGATACAACTCACTCCTGAACAATTTTAACAAAACCCCAAAATAAATTTGTCTAAAACTATTGGCAGAAAA